GAGAGACTGGGGAGGAAAATGAGAGAGACTGGGGGAGGAAAATGAGAGAGTGGAGGAAGAAATGAGAGACTGGGGAGGAAAATGAGAGACTGGAGGAAGAAATGAGAGACTGGGGAGGAAAATGAGAGTGGAGGAAGAAAATGAGAGACTGGAGGAAGAAAATATGAGAGACTGGGGAGGAAGAAAATGAGAGACTGGAGGAGGAAATGAGAGACTGGGGGAGGAAAATGAGAGAGTGGAGGAAGAAATGAGAGAGACTGGGGAGGAAAATGAGAGACTGGAGGAAGGAAATGAGAGACTGGGGGAGAAAATGAGAGAGCTGGAGGAAGAAAATGAGAGACTGGGGGAGGAAAATGAGAGACTGGGAAGAAAATGAGAGACTGGGGAGGAAAATGAGAGACTGGAGGAAGGAAAATGAGAGACTGGGGGAGAAAAATGAGAGAGACTGGGGAGGAAAATGAAAGGGAGGAAAAATGAGAGAGACTGGGGGAGGAAAATGAGAGAGACTGGGGAGGAAAATGAGAGACTAGGGGAAAATGAGGGGGAGGAAAATGAGAGACTGGGGAAGAAATAGAGACTGGGGAGGAAAATGAGAGACTGGAGGAGAAAATGAGAGACTGGAGGAGGAGAAAATGAGAGACTGGAGGAAAGGAGAATGAGAGACTGGGGAGGAAATGAGGACTGGGAGGAAATGAGAGACTGGGGAGAGGAAATGAGAGACTGGGGGAGGAAAATGAGAGACTGGTGGAGGAAAATGAGAGACGGGGAGGAAAATGAGAGACTGGGGGAAACAGACGAGAGATTAGAAGAGATAAAAGAAAACGCGTAAAAGATTAGGGAAGACGATTAAGAGAATCTCATTGATTAGACAGAAGTAATTGATTGGGTGAAGTCATGTTAAGTTAGGCTAGGTTAAGTTAGGCTAGGTTAGGTTAGGTTAGTTGCTAGGGGTTGTTGGGTTAGGGCTGGCAAGTAGGGCTGGTTGAAGGTTGCTAGCTAGGGGTTGTTAGGCCAGATTAACATTTAGATGTGGTTAGTTTGTATTTCATATCATACTGTCTTCGTATACCGACTCACTAGGGAGCAGGAGTAGTATCACCTGTGTACAGTGACCAGGTGAGGCCTTGTACTGACTGATTCCTCCCCAACCTTGATTTAGTAACGAGACCAATTATGTCTGTGTCTGTTTGTCTGTCTGTATTAATCACAATAATAATAATAATAATAATAATAATAATAATAATAATAATAATAATAATAACAATACAGTAATAATAATAATAATAATAATAATAATAATAATAATAATAATAATAATAATACAGTAATAAAACTAATAATAATAATAATAATCTCTAGTCTTATGAGTCATTGTCTGTTTCTGTGTCTATCTGTCTGTCTCTTTTCTCTCTCTCTCCTCTCTCCCTTAGATTGTAGATAGAGAGAGAGAGAGAGAGAGAGAGAGAGAGAGAGAGAGAGAGAGAGAGAGAGAGAGCGAGAGCAACTTGTAAACATCACATCTTGGCATCGAGTAATTCCTTTGTCCCAGAAATTTTATATTTACTTAATTTTAACAAACGAGAAAAAAGTAGTAGAGTTGCAGGTCCAAGCTTATGGCAGGTACAGACGCAGGTAAATAACGGGTAGAGGTACAAGCTTATGGTAGGTATATACAGGTACAGACGCAGGTAAATAACGGGTAGAGGTACAAGCTTATGGTAGGTATATACAGGTACAGACGCAGGTAAATAACGGGTAGTACAGCTACAAGTGCAGGTATATAGACTATTACAAGGGACTCCAGAAGAGCTTGAGACCAGTAAAGAGCGCTAGAGACCAGTAAAGAGGGCTGGAGACCAGTAAAGAGGGCTAGAGACCAGTAAAGAGGGCCGGAGATCACTAAAGAGCGCTAGAGACCAGTAAAGAGCGCTAGAGACCAGTAAAGAGGGCTGGAGACCAGTAAAGAGGGGCTAGAGACCATTAAAGAGGGCTGGGGACCATTAAAGAGGGCTGGAGACCATTAAAGAGGGCTGGAGACCAGTAAAGAGCGCTGGAGACCAGTAAAGAGCGCTAGAGACCAGTAAAAGACGGCTGGCGACCAGTAAAGAGGCTGAGACCACTAAAGACCGCTAGAGACCAGTAAAGAGGGCTAGAGACCAGTAAAGGGCGCGCTAGAGAGACCAGACCGTAGTAAAGAGGGCTGGGCTAGCGCTAGAGACCAGTAAAGAGCGCAGTAAAGAGGGCTAGAGACTACAAAGAGCGCTAGGAGACCACTAAAGACCGCCAGGAGACCAGTAAAGAGGGCTGGAGACCAGTAAAGAGCGCTAGAGACCAGTAAAGAGGGCTGGAGACCAGTAAAGAGGCTAGAGACCATTAAAGAGCGCGAGACCACTAAAGACCGCTAGAGACCAGTAGAGACCAGTAAAGAGGGCTAGAGACCAGTAAAGAGCGCTAGAGACCATTAAAGAGCATACAAAGCCAAAAGACCGCTAGAGACCAGTAAAAGAGGGCTGAGACCAGTAAAACGCTAAAGAGACCACTAAAGACCGCTAGAGACCAGTAAAGAGGCTGGAGACCAGGGAAAGAGGGCTGAGACCAGTGAAGAGGGCTAGAGACCATTAAAGAGGGCTGGGGACCATTAAAGAGGGCTGGAGACCATTAAAGAGGGCTGAGACCAGTAAAGGCGCTGGAGACCAGTGAGCGCTAAAGAGCGCTAGAGACCAGTAAAGACGGCTGGCGACCAGTAAAGAGGGCTGGAGACCACTAAAGACGCTAGAGACCAGTAAAGAGGGCTGAGACCAGTAAAGGGCGCTAGAGACCAGTAAAGAGGGCTAGAGACCAGTAAAGAGCGCTAGAGACCACTAAAAGACCGCTGGAGACCAGTAAAGAGGGCTGAGACCAGTAAAGAGGGCTAGAGACCAGTAAAGAGCGCTAGAGACCACTAAAGACCGCTAGGAGACCAGTAAAGAGGGCTGAGACAGCAAAAGAGGGCTGGAGACCAGTAAAGACCGCTAGAGACCAGTAAAGAGAGGGCTGGAGACCAGGAGACCTAGAGACCAGTAAAGAGGGCTGGAGACCAGTAAAGAGCGCTAGAGACCAAAGAGTGGGCTAGAGACATTGAAGAGGGCTGGGGACCATTAAAGAGGGCTGGAGACCATTAAAGCAGGGCTGGAGACCATTACAGAGCGCTGGAGACCAGTAAAGCAGGGCTGAAGACCAGTAAAGACCGCTAGAGACCCAGTAAGAGGGCTGGAGACCAGTAAAGAGCGCTAGAGACCAGTAAAGAGGGCTAAACACCATTAAAGAGGGCTGGAGGCCATTAAAGAGGCTGAAACCAGTAAAGAGCGCTGGAGACCATTAAAGATGGCTGGAGACCATTATAGAGGGCTGAGACCATTAAAGAGGGCTTATTAAAGAGGGCTGAAGACCATTAAAGAGGGCTGGAGACCAGTAAAGAGCGCTGAGACTGCAGTAAAGAGTGCTGAGACCATTAAAGAGGGCTAGAGACTAAAGAGGGCTGAGACCATTAAAGAGGGCTGGAGACCATTAAAGAGGGCTGGAGACCAGTAAAGAGGGCTGAGACCAGTAAAGAGCTGGAGACCAGTAAAGAGGGGGCCAGTAAAGAGGGCTGGAGACCAGTAAAGAGCGCTAGAGACCAGTAAATAGGGCTAGAGACCAGTAAAGAGCATTAGAGACCAGTAAAGAGCGCTGGAGACCACTAAAGAGCACTGGAGACCAGTAAAGCGCGCTGGAGACCAGTAAAGAGGGCTGGAGTAAAGAGGGCTGGAGACCCTACCAAAGAGGGTTGGAGAACAATAAAGAGCGTTGGAGACCAGTAAAGAGCGCTGAGCACTGTGTAAAAGAGCGCTGGAGATCTGTAAAGAGCGTTGGAGACCAGTAAAGAGCACTGGAGACCATTAAAGAGCGCTACAGACCAGTAAAGAGGGCTAGAGACCAGTTAAGAGGGCTAGAGACCAGTAATGAGGGCTAGAGACCACCAAAGAGGGCTAGAGACCAATAAAGAGCGCTAGAGAACAGTTAAGAGGGCTAGAGACCAGTAAAGACTGAGACTGAGAAAGAGCGCTGGAGAGCGCTAAAAGAGGCGCTGGAGACCAGTAAAGCGCTGGAGACCAGTAAAGAGCGCTGGAGACCACATTAAAAAGACTGGAGACCATTAAAAGAGGTGGAGAAAGAGCGCTGGAGACCAGTAAAGAGTGCTGGAGACCAGTAAAGAGTGCTGGAGACCAGTAAAGAGTGCTGAGACCAGTAAAGAGGGCTGGAGATCAGTAAAGAGCGTTGGAGACCAGTAAAAAGAGCTGAGACCATTAAAGAGGGTTGGAGACCATAAAGAGCGCTGGTAAGCAAAGTATGCTGGAGACCAGTAAAAGTGCTGGAGACCAGTAAAGAGTGCTGGAGACTAAAGAGCATGGAGAGTAAAGAGCGCTGGAGACCAGTAAGTAAAGAGCGCTGGAGACCAGTAAAGAGCGACTGAGACCAGTAAAGAGCGAGCGCGCTAGAGACCAGTAAAGAGCGCTAGAGACCAGTAAAGAGGGGTAGAGCCCAGCAAAAGAGGGCTAGAGCTAAGAGCGCTAGAGACCAGTAAAGGGGCTAGAGACCACCAAGAGGGTTAGAGACCACCAAAGAGGGCTAGAGACCACCAAAGAGGGCTAGAGACTACAAAGAGGGCTAGAGACTACCAAAGAGGGCTAGAGACCACCAAAGAGGGCTAGAGATTACCAAAGAGGGCTAGAGACTACCAAAGAGGGCTAGAGACCACCAAAGAGGGCTAGAGATTACCAAAGAGGGCTAGAGACTACCAAAGAGGGCTAGAGACCACCAAAGAGGGCTAGAGACCAGCAAGATGGGATAAGGAACCCGGGGGGCGGGGGTGGTGGGGGGCGGGCGTGCGTGAGTGCAGGTGTGGAGGCGCAGGCTCAGGCTGGGGGCAGCTCTGTGGCGGGTCACGGGCCAGCTGCTCCACCATTACCGCGGCCGACACCGCCGCTGCCGCTGCTACCACCCTGCCACTCTGCTGTTCTCCTGCCACCTGCCGTCCGCCGCCCGGCTCCCAACTCGCGGTCACTTGCGGCTCGCGGCTTTTGCTCGTGTGATCCTGTAGTCATCCCCCGGTGGGACTCATCATGTAGACGGTGTTGTGAAAGTTTGTGTTCGGTGTTTTAAACTTTGGTGTTTTATCACAGACGTGAGCGGTCAGGTGTGTGTGGTGCTGGCTGACGGACACACTCATCACCAGTGACTGAATTTTCTCACTTACTGTGGGAGTGTGAGAAGTGAGGTAGAGGCGAGGAGGGGGTTGGGGGGAGCCCCAGCTTCTGGCCCGGCCCCCCCACGGCCCACTGGACCGCCTAGCTGGAGCGGTCCAGCAACACCTGTGCTAAAGGAAAATAAATAATAGTGGGCAGCAGCAACACTAGCGGTGTACAGTAGTGGTGAGTTGTGATTGTTGAGTGTTGAGTCAGTGATCAGTGTAGAGGCGCGCCAGGACGCTTACAACCATGACACACACACGAGGAATGGTTCTAATAGTAAGACAAGTGTGCAGGAACTAGCCATCACCTGCTGTGTGTAAACAATACCAGGGTGAGGATGGTGTGCGGGGGAGCCACACCAGCAGCCGTGTCGCAGGAGCAGCATAACCACGTGCACTGGTAGCTCCTGCCGCAGCGGATCATGATCCGGGCGTCCCGACACTCCTTGGGGCTCACAGCCCCCAGGGACGCATCTCCGTGGCGGGTCCTTACAGTCGACGGACCCCAGGGATCACCGTCCCCACCTCCGGTGAGTGGGGTAGTGGGCCAAGTTGATACGATCCCGGCGACCTCCTTTGACATGACTACTGACGCTTCCGTCGTCCTCCCAGCGCCACTGACCCCAAGCTCATGTGAATTCGGGGCCGAGTGCCTGTCTCAGGTCACGGGTCGGACCACAGGTGGCTGGGGGCAGGAATCACCCCCAGGAGACGGCACGGAAGGGGGACGGAAGAAAACCGGACTCCGAGGAAGGTATCGCCACCTTTGGTACCGGCGGGGGCAGCACCTACTCTCATGTGTGTTGGTCGTGCTGCCTGCCACCGCCTCCTGCCTCACTCACCTCCTGAGAGGTCGAGGTTTACTAAAAGGTCGTGGCCTCTTGTTGCTCCTCTTACTCCTAGAGGTCACGACCCTGACCCGGCTGACCCACGCGGGCAAAGCCGACAAGGTCAAGATGGTGGACATCCCCGGCGACGTAATCTTCGGAGGAATGTTCCCCATGCATGAGCGAGGCGTGGACGAGCCGTGCGGGTCCATCAAGGAGGAGAAGGGCATCCAGCGCATGGAGGCGATGATGTACGCCCTCGACATGATCAACCAAGACCCCGTCCTCCTGCCCAACCTTACCCTCGGGGCACTCATCCTCGACACCTGCTCCTCCGATACCTTCGCCCTCGAGCAGTCCATGGAGTTCTTCAAGTCCTCCATCAATCAGGTACGAGACGCTCCTCCGTTTACATTTATCTGTGTGTTTCATCTGACTTAAAGCTGTCCGTCCCATTTACATCTGGCGATCCTGTTTTAACTCACGTTCATTTTTCCCATTTATCATCTTGTTTACAGCTGGTAACCTTTTTTACTCCCAACAGCTACGGGTTAACCTCACGCCCTTAACGATGGTTTGTTTTCTTCGGGATTTTCACTTGAGTGTTATACATCGTTAATATACCCACTGGGGGAGGGGGGGTAAAAACACCTTTTTTCAGCGACTTAACAAAAACTCACTCAACAATATCTAATTTTAGTAGGAGCAACTCACTCAGCGCTGCCAAACTTGAATACATTCCTCTCACTGGGTCTTTCCTTCAGAAGGCACACACGGTTCACTCATGTTTTTTTATCATTTCGTCGAGGCAGCGGAGGTCACAGCTTACTGCCACTTCTGAACTCAATTTTTCTTTGTATCCTTGTTCACCTCATTGAAATTTTGAAGACACCTAACCTAACCTAACCTAACCTAACCTAACCTAACCTACCCTAACCTAACCTAACCTACCCTAACGTGACCTAACCTAACCTAACCTAACCTAACCTATCCTATCCTAACCTAACCTAACCTAACCTAACCTAACCTACCCTAACGTGACCTAACATAACCTAACCTAACCTAACCTAACCTACCCTAACGTGACCTAACCTAACCTAACCTAACCTATCCTAACCTAACCTAACGTGACCTAACCTAACCTAACCTAACCATTGGATTTACTTCCCAAGGAAACAAGGAAGACAAACTACAATTAGAGTCACGATCCTACACGTCCACCATAACCCACCCGGGAGTATTGTTTACCGCTGCTCGTCTTGTTTACACTTGAAATGTTTTTTTTACATGTGTGTTATCTACTCTTGGTAACCTTTTTTACACCTGGTGACGTTGTTTACACCTAGTGGCGGTGTTTACAGATGGTAACCCTATTCACTCCTGGCCATCTTGTTGTTTACACGTGGTGACCTTGTTTACGCCTGTTGACCTTATTTACTCCTGGTGCCTTTGGTGTTTATACTTGGTGACCTTGTTTACACCTGGTGACCCGGTTGTTTACACCTGGTGACCCCATTGTATACGCCTGATGACCTTGTATACACCTGATGACCTTGTTTACACCTGATGACCTTGTTTACACCTGATGACCCCATTGTATACACCTGGTGACCTTGTTTACACCTGATGACCTTGTATACACCTGGTGACCCCATTGTTTACACCTGGTGACCTTTGCTCCCCGTTACTATTACTGAAGACTCGCGATTTATTTATTTTCCAGTGTAACTTCAACTCAACATTATTCTTTTACAACTAATTTATCAAAGTTTTACAAATAGTTAATTCTTTTACAACTAATTTATCAAAGATTTACAAATAGTTAATTTTTTTACAACAGATTTATTAAAGACTTACATACAGTTAATTTTTTTTTACAACAGATTCATTAAAGATTTGCATACAGTTAATTCCTTTACAACTAATTTATTAAAGATTTGCATATGTTAACTTTTTATATTAGTCGTTTGTTTAACCGCGTGAGGAACCTGATTAAAATTTGTAATTTTATGGGAGTTAAACCATCGCCCTAAGTGTTAAACCATGGTCCTAAATATTAAACCATCTCCCTAAAGTATTAAATCATCGTTCTAAGACTTAAACCATCGTCCTAGAAGTGTTAAACCAATGTTCTAAAACTTAACCAATCGTCCTAAAAGTTAAACCATCGTCTTAAGTATTAAACCATCGTCCGAAGACTTAAACTATCGTCCTAGAGTGTTAAACCAGCGCCCTAAAACTTAAATTAAACCACCGCTCTTAACCATTTACATTCAACGCTCATTCATTTACTATCACTAAACTTTTCATCTCTTATTTGTACTTTCCCACTTATTTTTTTTACATTTGCTAATTTTTTTTTACAGTTTTTTTTTACATATTATTTACGTATTTTAACCCACTTTTGATATTTTTTTTTTTACCATTCCGCCATTTAATTTTTTTTTTACACTAATCCAATTTTTTTTTTACATTCTCATCCATTTTTCTACACTTTTTTTTACACACTTTCACCTATTTTGTAACTTTTTTTTACACCTTTTAACCCCCATTTTATCACATTTTTACACCAATTTTACACCAATTTTATCACTCATTAGATATTTTACTATACTATACATTATCTCCATTTTTTTACACATTATTTACATTCTTCAAATTATTTTACACTAAACTTCTTTTTTTTTACACAAGAGTTTCAGAAGTTGCTACACTGATAAGAGCCGGGGAGAGAGATAAGAATAAGAGCCGGGAAGAGAGATAAGAATAAGAGCCGGGAAGAGAGATAAGAATAAGAGCCGGGAAGAGCGATAAGAATAAGAGCCGGGAAGAGCGATAAGAATAAGAGCCGGGAAGAGATAAGAATAAGACCGGGAAGAGATAAGAATAAGACAGGAAGAGCGATAAGAATAAGAGCCAGGAAGAGATAAGAATAAGAGCCGGGAGAGAGATAAGAATAGGCCGGGAAGAGCGATAAGAATAAGAGCCGGAGAGCGATAAGAATAAGAGCCGGGAAGAGCGATAAGAATAAGAGCCGGGAAGAGCGATAAGAATAAGACTAATAGCGACTCACTCTATCAATATAAGATGTTGAAAAATGAGACATAAATTTGATGTACTGGGTAGGAGGTGAGGAGGAGGAGGAGGAGGAGGAAGGAGGAGTAGAAGGAAGGGAGGAGGAGTGGAGTGAGGAAGAGAAAGAGGAAGAGGTGATATAGGATCTTGGAGGAGAGGAAGAATAAGGAAGAGAGGGAGGATGAGAGGTCATTGAGTGTCTTGTGGAGGGAGGAGGGAGGAGGGCAGGGGCAGGAGGATGAGGGGAGGGTCAGGTAGCGGTCTTGTCGAGGAGGAGGAGGGGCAGGGGCAGGGGGAGTAGAATGAGGAGGAGGGTCAGGTAGGGTCTTATGCGAGGAGGAGGGGGGGGAGGGGGGAGTAGAATGAGAGGAGGCAGGTAGGGTCTGTCGAGAAGGAGGAGGAGGGCAGGGGCAGGGGGCGGAGTAGAAGGGGAGGAGGGGTAGGAGGGTCTTGGAGGAGGAGGAGGAGGGGGGGGGAGGGGAGAATGAGGAGGAGGGGTAGGTAGCGGTCTTTGTCGAGGGGGGGAGGAGGAGTCATGGAATGTCTTGTGGCGTTAGAGAAGAAGAGGAGGAGTAGTAGTAGTAGGGAGGAGGAGGAAGAAGAAGATAAGTAAGCGAGAAAGGGGGAGGAGGAGAGAGGGTATAGGTGAAGATATAATGTATTACAACACTGCAAATATTAAAGCCTTTGAGCCCTTAATGAGCAGATACATCTCTAGTTAGGTGAGGGAGGAGACGGGAGGAGGGGGAGACGGGGTGAGGGAGGAGACGGGGTGAGGGAGGAGACGGAGGAGGGAGGAGACGGGAGGGAGAGACGGGGGAGGAGGACGGGGTAGGAGGAGACGGAGGAGGGAGGAGACGGAGGAGAGAGACGGAGGAGGGAGGAGACGGGTGAGGGGAGGAGATGGAGGAGGAAGATGGGTGAGGGGAGGAGACGGAGGAGGGGAGGAGACGGGAGGAGGGGAGAGACGGGGTGAGGGAGAGATGAGGAGGGAGATGGGTGAGGGAGGAGACGGGAGAGGGAGGAGACGGGAGTGAGGGAGGAGAGGAGGAGGGAGGAGATGGGGGGAGGGAGGAGACGGAGTGAGGGAGGAGATGGAGTGGAGGAGGGGATGAGGGAGGGAGGAGCATGGGTGAGGGAGGAGACGGGGTGAGGGAGGAGACGGGGTGAGGGAGGAGACGGGGTGGGAGGGAGGACGGGGGGGAGGGAGGAGACGGGTGAGGGGAGGAGACGGGGTAGGAGGAGACGGAGGAGGGAGGAGACGGGGGTGAGGGAGGAGACGGGTAGGGAGGAGGACGGAGAGGGGAGAGACGGGGTGAGGGAGGAGACGGGGTGAGGGAGGAGACGGGGTGGGGGAGAGACGGGGTGAGGGAGGAGACGGGGTGAGGGAGGAGACGGAGGAGGAGGAGACGGGGTGAGGAGGAGACGGAGGAGGAGGAGACGGAGGAGGAGACGGGGGTGAGGGGAGGAGACGGGTGAGGGAGGAGACGGAGGGAGGGAGGAGACGGGGGGAGGGGAGGGAGACGGGGGAGGGAGGACGGGTGAGGAGGAGACGGAGGAGGAGGAGACGGGTGAGGGGAGGAGATGAGTGAGGGGAGGAGACGAGTGAGGGGAGGAGACGGGGTGAGGGAGGAGACGGGTGAGGGAGGGAGACGGGAGTGAGGGGAGAGACGGGGGAGGGAGGAGACGGGGGTGAGGGGAGGAGACGGGATGAGGGGAGGAGACGAGGTGAGGGAGACATGGGTGAGGGGAGAGAGATGGGGTGAGGGGAGGAGACGGGAGAGGGAAGAGACGGGATGAGGAGGAGATGGGAGAGGGAGGAGACGAGGTGAGGGGAGGAGATGGGGTGAGGGGAGGAGACGGGATGAGGGAGAGATGGGATGAGGGAGGAGATGGGTGAGGGGAGGAGACGGGGTGAGGGAGGAGACGGGGTGAGGGGAGGAGATGGGGTGAGGGAGGAGACGGGGTGAGGGAGGAGACGGGGTGAGGGAGGAGACGGGGTGGGAGGAGCACATGGGAGAGGGAGGAGACGGGGTGAGGGAGGAGACGGGGTGAGGGAGGAGACGGAGAGGGGAGCACGGGATGAGGGAGGATGGTGAGGGAGGAGACGGAGGAGGGGAGGAGGGGGTGAGGGAGGAGATGGAGTGAGGGAGGAGATGGGGTGAGGGAGGAGAAGGGGAGGGAGAGATGGAGGGAGGGGAGGAGACGGGGTGGGGAGGGAGGAGATGGAGAGGGAGGAGACGGAGGGGAGGGGACAGGGTGGAGGGAGGAGACGGAGGGGAGGGGAGGAGATGGGGTGAGGGGAGGAGATGGGA